GGAAAGATTATATACTGCCAACAGAGTCTTATGATGTTTCTTAATAGTTAGGAAAAATATAAATGTCATAAAATTAAAAATAATTTGAGATATTCCATGAATATCCATTCAGATTAGGCAACATAAATTCTGAAACATTAAATTTTTGTAAGCTTCTTGCCAAGCATTTTGTTATTTAATCTGTTCTAATACTGAAAATTAGTGATATTTTAATATTTTATTCAAATAAATTTCTTCTTACCGTGTTATCGAAATTTTTCCTATTACTCTGCCATTATAAAACAAAAGTAATGGGAATGGAAATTTAACCATAAAGCAGAGCACTTTGGATTTCATTTTTTATTCCCATACACACTCTCGTAGAATCCCAAAAAAGAGACTGTGTGTCATCTAACTCACCACTTCTCAGACTTCAGAACCCCTTTGTGCCCCTAAGTCACTGAGCACTGCAGAACATTTGCTTCTGTAGGTCCACCTCCCTGTGCTTACCCCATCATTAGAAGCCAGAAAATACATGTTTATGGCTTCATTTCAAAATAGCTCATTACATCATAACATACATAACCTAGTTTAATGAAATTGACTTTACTTGCCAAAACAAAAACTGCAAGACAGGAATTACTGTATGTCTTTTGCAATATTTTTGAAGTCTAGCTCATTGAATCCAGTGGGGTGTATATGTTATACATGTTCATGTGGGTGACGTGTAAGCAAATGCTCTGCAGAGTTCTCAATGACTTAGGGGCACAGAGGGGTTCTGAAGTCTGAGAAGTGGTGAGTTAGATGACACACAGTCTCTTGGGATTCTACGAGAGTGTATATGCATGCAATTCCTCAATTGCTTTTCATCTTGTTTTTTGAGATAAGGTCTTTCACTGAACCTGGAACTCATTGAATAGAGTAAGCTAGTTGGCCAGTGAACTCGAGGGATTCATCTTTTTCTGATCCTTCAGCTCTGGAGTTACAAGCACATTCTACCACACTCAGCTTTTTTAAAAATATTTTATTTATTATTTTTATTTTATGTGTATGATTGCCTGCATGTATGTAGATGCGCCCATGTCGTGCAGTGCTGCAAAGGTCAGAAGAAGTCTTCGGATTCCCCTGGAACTGGAGTTAAGGATGGTTCATAGGCGCCATTGGGTGCTGGGAATCAAACCCAGGTCCTCTGCAAGAGCAGTCAGTGCTCTTAACTGCTGAGCCATCTCTCCAGCCCCCACACTCAGCTTTTATGTGGATGCTAGGTATCTGAACTCAGATCTTCCAGCACTTTACTAACTGACCATCTCCCCAACTTGAATGCAGTTTTAAGTCTCATATCTGATCCTGACTACAGTCTGTGATTTTGTTCATATTGAAGTAGTTAAGGGCAATCCAGTACTATAGTAGCTGGAAGGGGGGAAACTATTTTAATAGTCCTTGCAGATAATTTTATAGTACATCAAAGTTCATCAGATGGTAACTTGTTAAGGTTTATAAGTTGAAATAGGAATACATCAATGTACTTTTTGTATTTTGTTACAAATAGTTAAAGTACTTTGGGTTAGCTTGCAGTTGGGTGAGTCCTTGGGGGTAGCATTCATTGATCATTTGGAAAGCATTAGTCCACCAAATTATGCAGTTCTTCCATATATTTATTAATATAATATTTTAAGAATCATATTCATTACTCACCATTGTCTCTTGAAAACTCAAGTATGTCCCACAACTTCGAATGCTTCTACTTTGAAGCTTTTGGAGCTCCTCTAACATGAGAGCACTACATTCCATAGAAATGTACTTAAATTCTTAATTTTAATTCTTTCCAAGACCACCCATGTATTGCATAGTAATTTGAACCCCTCATGATACTTTTTCTTGAAACAAGCCACAGTTCCCAGTTATCCATGAGACAAAAGGGTAATAACCAGTACTCTTGTGCTGTTGCCAAGCTCTGATGTTTGCTAGGTTAATGATGATAAATGCATTTTCCATGTAGTACTATTTTCAACCTACCAATAGGTCTATTAGGACCTGCACCCATCATAAGTCAGAGCTCATCTAAGTTGAGAAACTCAAGTTTTCCAAAATACCAGTTGCCCCTTGAAAGTTGATTTTTTTTATTATTGACGACAAATATTATAAGGTTTTTTTTTTCTTTTTTCTTGTAAAAAAAAAGTTGTCATACCCAAATCTGTTCTTTCAGTATGTCCGCATGATGGAGGGGAAAGCACATACATAGGTCAGCTTCACAGATGATTAGAATATAATAAGTTAAGCACTCAGTCTGACCCGGACTTGGTTGCATTTTAGTACTTCATAAAGGAATTTAAGGATTCGAGGATGTAGAGAGAAGAGTAGAGAGGAAATGATAACTAGAGAGAGGAAGTATATGCCCTACCTACAGAACAGGTGCTCCTGAAGGTAGGAGGCAGGGACTATTGTTACACTTTCTATGGTTTTGTGTTTAGCAAAAGAATAAGAAAAAGCAAGACAAAGTGGTTGAGAATTCATAGTTCGCTCATTTAGTCACTCTATTGTACAACAGCCAGATACTGATCTAGGGACCGAGGTCCTGGCAATGAATGAAACAAGCCCTGCTTAATTAAGGAGCTTAGGTTCCAGTGGAAAGAGACCAATACATATCGGCACAGAGCTAAGTGCTGTAACAGACAGTTAAAACAGAAAGGGAGGACAACTGATAATGGTATGGGGCTGAGCCCCACCTCCTAGAACGGTCAGGGCAGGCCTCCCGGAAGCTGGGAGCTCACCATGGTGCGGATCGGTGCCGATTGCTGAGCAGATGCAGAACAGGGTTAGCAATCCTGCCTCAATTCTAAGGTTATTCTTTTTTTTTTCCTCTGTTGTCTCTATTAAGACAAATGAGTTGTCAGTGCTTCACCTCCCTCCCCACCCGGAAGAAGCATCATATGTGCAGCATGATTAAGGGCAGAAGGGAAACTTCGAAGTAGAAAAAAAGGATGGTAAATGACTTCCCACGTAACACCTCCTTTTTCCATGAGGTTAGTGTCAGTCATTGGCAAGAGAAATAACTTCCGTGAGTGTAGAGAAGGTATGAGATGTGTGCCTTGGAAGACAGAAACCTGAGTGAGCCCCAGTGAGGAGTTAGAGTCTAAGAACAAGCAAATGGACAGCGGAATAGATTGTGGTTCAGCTTTCAAGACCAGAAATCTCAAGCTGATAACATTGGCCACTGTTCATGGAGGCTGAATTTCCCCAACTCCAGTCAGGCAGTGGGAGTGGAGAGCACAAGACAGGAGTCAGTTGGGGCAGGTGCCATAGACAGACAGTGGTGGGGCTAACCTAGATTGGGAGTGCCCATGGGTGACCAGCCATGAACCCAGCTGTGGAACCCAAGTATCTACCTATGCACACATACATAGACAAGCAGGCTACCAGGCGTGGAGAATGCAGATGGACCACAATTGTTCCATCTCTTGTAGGAGTACAAGAAGCTCTCGAATCTTCCCAGCCAGTAGATAAGACATGAGCCAAGCTTGGTAGTTTTCATCAAAGGAGAATAAAGACATTGGTAGAGGAGAAGCCAGACAGAATCCAAAGGAAAAGGAATCCAAAGTGGCCAAAAGAGTTCTCAGATCTGGGTGATGACTCCTTGTACCAGCTCAGGCAGAGTCTGATGAACTCTCAGAACCTGTAGGCACTGACTCCCCGACACAGCCAGCCTTGTCACTCCCACCAAGGGGTTCTGCCCATCCAGTTCACTCCGTGCCAGTCAGTGCCTGGCACTTTTGTCTGTATTGCCTAAGCAAGTGTCTATACTAAAGAAACGTGTGCCTTGACCAAAGAACCAGCAGGCAAGGCTTAACCTTGCTAGGAAAGGGCAATCAGTGAAGTGCCTTCTCTACCACAGATCCACGGCTACCTGACCTTGCACATTTGTGCTTATCAATCCTGAACTTTTGGCATAAAAGCTGAGGTGTGGGAAAACTTGCAGCAAAAAATGTTATAAATCACTGTTAAAGAAAAATCAGACGTGAAGATAAAGCATCAGTGAAACTATACTATAAAACAGGCAAGAATTTCCCTCAGTCCTTCTCTCCCTCCCTTTTTTCCTTCTTTCCCTCTTTCCTCCCTCACTCCCTCCCCCTTTTGTATGGTGCTATAGGTTGAATCCAGGGCCTGATACATGCTGAGCAAGTGCTTTTACCACTAAGCTACATATCTCCAGCCCTTACTTTATTTTTAAATACAACACCCCAAATGCCTCTTCTATATAAGCCTACTTTTGAAATTATAGAATAAAAATAGAATCTCTTTAAAAATAGTATTGTTAAAAGGCTGTGATCTTAATGATTTAAGTTGCATAGTGATGTTTTGACCAACAGGAAGAAATTCCCACCCTTCTGCATGAGTCCCCAATAAGTTGCTCCAGCTGAGTTCAGTTTCTGATGCTGAAACTTTATCCTTCGGTTTATCCCACTAAAGAAAATGTTTTCCAGGGGGCTGGAGAGATGACTCAGTGGTTAAGAGCACTAACTCCTCTTGCAGATGGACCCAGGTTCAATTCCCAGCACCCACATGGCAGCTAACAATCATCTGTAACTCCAGTTCCAGGAGAATCTGACGCCTTCTTCTGACTTCCAACAGCATTGCATGACAGGGGTGCACTTATACACATGCAGGCAATAAATGTTTTCCTCACCAATGGCATGTTATTAGTCATCACAGATATTTAACTACTGTGATGCGTCTACTACTGAAATACCAAATTTAAAGAAAAAATGTAGTCTTGGCCCTTGGGGGGAGAACTTAGGTGGGGACCAGTGGGGTGGGTACCATAGGAAGAAAGCATTTTGACTCCTGAGATCAGGAGTTCAAGGTTATCTTCTAATACATAGTGAGTTTGAAAGTCAACCTAGGCTACATGAAACCCTGTCTCAAAAGCAAACAAAAGTGATTTTAAAGACGTGGCCACTTTCATTAGCTGGTAGAAAATTTCTTGCCTGGGCTTTTGTGTCAGTCACTAAATCTCTTTTCAGGAGATGGTTCCCAGTCCAGAAGCACTGTGGAGAAGGCGCTGACTCAGCATATGTCAGAATCCCTTGGGAAGGCAGTGTGCACAGGTATTTGTCATAGGAGCTGGGACATCAGGAGGATGGTCTATTGCTTTTGTGTGTTGAGGTTCAGTTATTGAGGTCTGAATTTCATCTGTGACTCAGTATTAGCAATTCCCAAAACATGCAGAAGTTCCTATTTACATAGAATCCTTGGAAGGTTGTTAGCTCTTCATTAGATGGTTCTGCTGTTCAGTCATTTGTAGGTGTGGGTAACTACATGGTTTCACTGTCGTGTAGTGCTGAGTTTACTTTGGTCTATGCTACTTAAAATATAAATTAAAACCAAAAAGTGTTTCTCATATAGCTTTTAGTGTTTCTTATCTGAAGCCCTTGGGATGAAAGAAATTAAAAGGCTTGCTTAATTAACATGGAGACACAAAACTTGTTGAAAGTGAGAATTACTAAAAGATATTTTAACTGAAAAAGCTTTTTAAATTTACTTTCCACTTGGGACATTCTTCTCTCCTAAAGAATAGTTACTTGAGGCTAAGGAACCACCCTGTGTAAATATTTTCTTTAATGGCCATTACTTATTTAGATATTAACTTTTAAATTCTACAAAGAGCCCTTGTCTCCTCTGGCTGCACAGTGTACCTACACATCCAATGTACTCAGTTTTGTGGACTATATTTCTCCTTTTGGTGCCCAACTTTTCCTTCTATACTCAAATCTTAAAATAAGTTTCTATTTACTATTGTGTCTGTATGGATACACATGTCATGGCACACATATAGTGTTCAGAGGACAACTGTGGAGTCAGTTTCCTGCTTCCACCATTACGTGGGTTCCAGGGATCAAATTCAGGAGGCCATATTTGTGTAGCAAGTGCCTTTTCTATGCCATCACACCTACCCCATTAAACCAATTTCTTAGTGATTTATTCAGCAAAATACTAAATCTACAAACAAGTACCATCAAAGCTCTCTGTTCTCCTACCCCTAGCCAATTTTCCCTGAGAATCACAGTTCCTCTGCTGCCACTGTCCTGCAGAAATGTGGGCAGTGAACATAGCATGGTAAGCCCCACCAGATGCCAGCCCCCCACCCCATACTGGATATCTGGTCTTAACTCTGTCTTTGAACACCTTCCAGGCCAGTTGCTTTCTTCCTGCTGTGTGTAAACAAAAGCAAGGAGTGTCTTCACAACAGGGCCCTCTAAAGTACAGATACACTTTAGCTCCTGTTCACACTGAATTGCTAACCCAATTAACACTTAGTCAACTGACAAACTGAGATGGGGGTCCATTGGGAATAAGATCTAACAGGATAGATCAGATGTGGGGCATAGCTGAGTTACAAGGAGAGGTAGGGTTTAAAGAAAATCAGTTCCCTGGATTATTTACAAGCAAGCTCAATTTCTCCTTCCTTTCCTCACTCCCCATAAAAGAAATGCTGACTTAAAGATTACAAACTCTTTCCATATATTGTGAGCATTTAAGTTCTGTGTCCTTTTTTCCCCTCACTAAAAATAAATGTCAGAAAACTTGGAAAAAATAGAGCCCATTGGGTCTTCTGAACAAAGGACTGTGGTGGGAAACACCCTGGCACCTCCAGGGATATTTTTCTCATCTAACCATGACACCACCTCTGTAGCTAGATGCTGTTGTACCTATTTCATCAGTGACAACATTTAGGTACAGAGAGTGACCCTACCAAAACTCAAGTGCATGATAGAGGGAGGCACTGGCAACAGATCGGTCAGAACCCAAGCCTTTCAGTTGTTCTGCAGAGATTGTAAAGGAGGGTGTACTACTTTTCTGTTGCCATGATGAAACACCAGGACCAAAACTAACTTGGGGAACAGAGAGGTTATTTTGGCTTACAGTTCCAGAGGAGCCCATAATGTTAAGGCAGGCATGCCAGCAGATGCAGGAAGCTGAGAGAACACATCTTCATCCATACATAGGAGCAGAGAGCAAACTGAAAGTGGGCAAGGCTATAAACTGAAAACCCACCCCAGTGACAGAACTTCTTCCAGCAAGGCTGCAGCTCCTAAAAGTTTTATAACCTCCCCAAACAGCACCACCAACTGGAACCAGATTTCAAACACATGAGCATATGGGGGACATTTCTCATTCAGACTACCACAGTGGCTATAACTACACCTGAAGAAGGGAAACTATAGGAATGACTCTGGACTAAGGACTTTTACTCGGCCTTTCACCAAAAGCTACTGTTGACAATGCAAACAAGCTCACTGAGCCATGCCCTCTTGTGACCTGGGCATGTGACCTTGATTCCTCAGGACCCCACTTTGTCCTCTACCCGAGATAGTAAATGAATGTGGTGGGTATGCTTGATTAGCATGTCAAAGTGCTGTATACAGCATATTCATATTGGTATCCTCCTGGAAAACAGAATAGCTGATGCTGTGTATATGAGACATTTTAGGCCTGGGGATCAAAGAATTCTCTGATTAGGGTAGAGCTAAGCTTGTAGTTCACCAATTGATGGGAGAAACTGGTTGAATAAATGTATGGGTAAAGCCTAGCTCAGAGGCAGAGTTCTGTGAGAGATCTGAAGGAACAAATTCCCTGAGTCTGGTCCACTCTTGGCTATTAAAACTTAATGCTAAGAGTCAGGCTGATTATTTATTCAGGTACAACTGTAATGTGTCTTAGTAATACTGCAGGAAAGGAGTCCAGCAGTCAGGATTTGCATGCCAGCACTATTGCTTACCTGCCTGGAGATCTGTATCTGTAAAATGCTCATAGCAGGAATTTTTCCCTGAGCTTATTGTGAGATGGCTCACCACTTAAGATCACTGACTGCTCTTGTAAAGGACACAGTTTGGTTCCCAGTATCTATCTGGTGGCTAACAACTATCCATAACTCCAGTTCCAGGGGATCCAATACCCTCTTCTGACCTCTGTAGGTATTGCATGTACTTGGTGCCCTTATATACATGTAGGCAAAACACTCATACACGTGAAATAAAAATAAATAAATAAATGTTTTAAATAAATAAAAGAAACTACTGATAAACAAAACTACTAGAAAAATGAGAATTCTCTTTCTTGCTAAGGAGGGCAGTGAGTTCACTGTTTGATGTCAACCACACTGAGCGGAAAGCCTGCTGACTATGGGTATAACCAAGGGGTAGGAGAAGGTTACTTGGGAGCCTGGTTCAGCAAGGCAGGGCACAGCAGGGCAGGGCAGGGCAGGTGTACCACGGAGAATGAACAGATCCAAACTCGGATTTCCGCTTGGAAATGTACTTGTTGCCTTGTGCTGCCACCAATTTCCTGAAATATGGGCCCAAGAAATGACTCAGCGTTCTCACAGCCTGCCTGTTACTGTGGATAGGCACAGCTAAATGTGTCTATTACAGTTTATCAACAAAATGAAGTTGAGCTCCTTGCTTTTGAAACATTTCTTTTACCCCAGAATTCTTCCAGGTTTCAGCATACTTATTTTATCCAGAGACCATGTTGGGAAATAATTTCAACCCCAGCTGGAGTTTATTACTTCAAAGCCAAATAAAAACAGGGAGCACCCGGGTGCCAACAGATAAAATTGAATCTAGGGCTTTCCAGTTTAATAAAATTAAAGCCTAAATTTACCACTCCTAAAATCATTGTCTCTACCACTTAATTGTAGCACATTCATTCAAAGCCCAAATCCAAGGGCCCTGTGTCCAGAGCAGGGGCATTGGTCTCTCTCTGCACCCTCCTAACTGCAGCAGGTGGAATAAGGGAACTTTCGCCAAACCAAGGGCATCATGAGGGGTGTGCCTTGCATAGAGTCAACAAAGCAGGACCCTGTGTTCTGCCATTAAAAAGCAGGAAGGGAATTGATGGTAGAAGGCTAGAGAATTGCCCGTGGATTTGTCTCTTCAGTACCCTAGCTGTGTTGTGGAAGAGTTTGATAAAGCTGCTTAGATGCTGACTCCTGGAGCCTCATGGTTGATCCTGTCCTGCTCCTAACATCAAACAGTGCCCAATGGATCCAGGCTTTAGTGATGAAAGAGGGGGGGAGGATGGGGAGGAGGAGGATGCACATCATTCATTCTTTATACCAGTGTCCCCATCCTCCCTGGGTTTGTCAAAATCCTGAGGGTAGTAAGTGGTAAATTCAACGCTGAAAGTTAACTTTCTTTCTTTTCACATGGCTTGAGTTTCACAAAAATTAGTTCTGTCAAATAACCGGGCTTCCTAAAAGTATCGTTTTCTGGTAATACAAACTTGATGTTTCTGTTTCCAGTGGAATTTTTGTTTGTTTGTTTGTTTTTTGGGTTTTTTTTGTTTGTTTGTTTTTCTCAAAATTCCAAAATAGTATTCTAGTTTGAGATTAATTAGGGTGCCAAGAGAATGAAGAAAAGGAAGTTGTTCCTCAAAAGGAACAGATTGGGCTACGCTACATTATCGTTAGACTGTGAGCTCTGCTCAGTTTCCCATCAGCCTCACTTTTTTTAATCTTTGAAGAGGGAAGCCAGGTTACTTTCCTGCAGGCTGAGTAAGGATTCAAGTAAAAGACCTGTTGTAGATTCTAGGCCATAAGAAGCACTCAGCACCTCCAGTTTCCCTTTATTCCACAGTCAGATCAGTTTCTTACCGGCTGTAAATGTCACTTTTCAAAATAGTTACTTTAATATGCTTAAAATATGAAAAACAGCCCACACTTAAAAATCCTAATATTAAGTATTCTTATTAAATAATTGTGAAAAATTAATTTTACTGAGTGAGTCATTTATATTTTCAGTTAATAAAAGCCCGTGTTTAGTACCTGGGAGTCCTGGGAGTCTCTTTTAACTCTGTTATGGGTAATTCTGCAGCATTTCCAGAAATTGTGAATGCCAGTGGAATTTCTCCTCCTTGTTCTTTGGTATGCAGCTCTGCAAGATCTGTAATTTAGGAGGTGCAGGTGAAGGTTTTAGATCACACCATCTGTGAGGCCTTGTCCTCATGCAGCGGAATAAGCTACTGTTGTAGCTGTATTGCCAAGAAAGACTTCCTGCAGTCATACTTCCTAGCATTTTAGAGTTTAAAAAAAAAAAGTGTAATAGCA